GAAGATTGCGCTAATTACCGCGGAATCTCGCTAATCTCAGTTGCTTCCAAGATTGTTGTGCCCATATTATTTCGCAGGCTTTTCACTACCAGAGAGTTTTCCCGAGAAGGAAAAGCCGGTTTTCGCCCGGACCGAAGTTGCATTGATCAAATTTTCGCTTTCCGTCATGTCGACCGTTGACAAAATATCCCAGTGTTCCTGGACATCCGCGCGGCGTTCTATTCAGTAGTCAGGACTGCTTTGTGGTACTGTATACTAAGGAAAAGTGTGACCGGCAAGTTTAGTTCGATTCTGAGGAAACTGTACAGTCACATGACGGGCAAAATCAGGGCTTTACGACAGAATTTCCTCTTCGTTTGCTGTCCCCAGCGGAGTTCCCCAAGGTTGCCCTATTTCACCTTTCCTCTTCAATTTTGCCATCGAAGATGTACAACGATCGCTAGGTGTCCAGAACTGCAGTGTTGAGTTTCTCCCTGGCGCCAGAATTGCACCACGCCGATGACATCGCTTTGCTCGGTGATGATTTGCAGACTGACCGAAACATCTTGAACCGGTTAGCAATTGAGACAACTAATTACGGCTTGTATTCCACCCAAGCCAAATGTAAGGTGCTATTTCAAGTTTGACAGGGGCCTGCGTCTGCGCTCACCATTGTTGGTGACATTTTGGAATAAGCGGATTGCTTCACTTATCTAGGGAGTCGCATCACGGTTGGTGACAGGGTCGGAGATGAAGTTTCACAGTGCATTGCAAAAGCAGGCCTTGCTTTCACTGAACTGAGACACTTATGGCGTCATCGTGAAGTCAATCTCAAGCTCAAGGGCAGGACGTACAACGCTTCCGTAAGTGCAGTCCTGCTGTGAGACGGCTTGTTCGATCCGAAGACATGAGGGCTGTCAGTGTTTGAAAAACTGCCTGCGAACGATCGCTCGTGTGTGATGGCAACATCACATAAGCAATACGGAGGTTCGTGAACGAGTGCTTGGAGCGAACAGCCCTAGTCTTCAAAACGTTGATCTCAGACACCGCATGCGTTGGATGGACTAGGTACTGCAGATGTCAGCCTATCGCCTTCTCCGGAGAGCGTTATTTGCGCTTCCCAAGAGCGAATGGAATATGTGCCGCGTTGGACAACCAACGATAGGGAAAATAGCATGAAGAAAGTAACCTCAAGTTTAGCTTCAGTCGGATCAGCGAGCCTTCCAAGTGGGGGAACTCGTGACTCGGAATTAGTGTGGTTGTAAACGCTGGATTCGATGGCAGGTAACACACATCAGTGTTGTTGTGCCGTTTTGTATGTTGATTAAGCAGTAGTACAAAAAATCTAAACGCCGTGTGTGAAACTCAGAAAGTGCTGTCCTTTTCCTTGTTTGCTTTCGTACGCCTATTGTCTTCCCTTTTGCCATAATTCTGATGGCACATTGCCTGTGCATACAGACTTGTGATATATATAAATATATATATATATATATATATATATCATAAGTCTGTACCGGAAGCAATGGTTATTGTGATATAGTACGGTTGCTATCTGCAGCTGTTTGCAATAGTACCGTGTTCCAATGCCGGCTTGATTGTGGTTGATTTCGATGGGAATGAGCTTGTTCAAGGCTTCCAAGCGATTTGTCGTTAGCATTCTCCTTCAACTGCGCCGAATAGGCCCAAGCCCAATTTATGGGTGCCCGATAACTTGTGGTTAATATATCAAACAAATTCATGATAGGATTGGGTTTCCAAGCTACTCATCTTCCCCATCCTGAAGTACTGTAGAGTAACATAAAGTAACATGAAAAATAGCGACAGAATGTCTCTGGAGCAGCTACAGAGATTGTTTACTAAACGTCTGATTGGTAAGCACTCTGCCATAAATTCGCTCCGGAGCGTTGCAAGGAACTTCATCTCGAACCACCTTGGATTCGACAATTAAAGCACAATTTACCTTTCAAACTGCTATACAAAAAACCTATTACGACCTGCCTACACTCGAACTTCAACATCGCACAACCGAGAAGCTCGCTATAAATAGTACACGCTGATTATACCAAAGGCTAAAACAAGCATGCGTTTAGAGTTCATCTTGGTTAGATATACTCATGTGTGAAATAAACTGCCAATCACTGAAAATAGCCAGTCCATATCTATCGCACCACATCATATTCAACGGCATGTTCTTCAGACCCATGAAGCCTCTGATGTAAAGTAGACCAATAAAGGCACGCAGCTCTGGAAGACTTACGCTCCACTGACAACTGACACCTAAAACTTTCTTGGCCTCAGCTGCAGTACATACTTGGATATGTTTCAGCATCTGGGGCGTGATTATGATGTCAAAAGTGCTCGACAGCTCACCATATTTCACACATTTCTTAGCATAGGGAGTTGGTCTAGCCTTAAACACATTCTGTGATGGAATCCTACCAACAGTAGATGTTTCGAACTCCACTGCGATCCACGTGCTACCATCTTTCGATACGTGAAGCTCACCGGGAGATACCGAATCGGTTGATACACTCTCTCTAGGGTCCTCATATGAAGTGTACTCATCAGACGTTTGACTATCAGACATGCTGTGATCTTCTGCTGACCCATGGAAGATGGAGTCCTCATCAACATCATAATCGTTCTCGTCTCCAGACTCGTTGTCATCGATGGTTGTAAGTTCTCGTAAAACCTCAAAGGCTGTTTTCCTCAGAAGTGCCATTGTGTACAAAAATGTCACTGGAATTTATCTGACTGAACGCACAATATCACAGTAAAATCGTGATTCGGCTAGTTTTCACTCCCGTTTTGACTGCTATAGTATATAACTGTCAGAAATGATGGCGGTGGCTAAAAATAAAAAGAGGAACCGGATTAGAGAGAAGCGGTCATTTTGACCGCTAACGGGCTTTCTAGGTAGTATGAACACAGCTACCTCTTTTCTCGAAAACTATAACAGATTTGAAAACGAAAATTCACAGTAATGAAGAACGTCCAAAAATATTAAAAGTCACGAAATATCTTTGAAAAATGTCAATAAATGTAGAAAATATGCACATTTAAAAACGCTGAGCGGTCAAAATGACCGCTCCGGGCGTTCTAGTGTTAAACGACAATGTGGCAACATTCAGTGACAAGCTCTCAAGTTACCTTGACCGGAACACACTAATGACTATATTCAAATGACATCAAGCCTTCGATGAGCTATTCCAAGAAAAACCCGTAAACATCTGAAAGCCCACTTTTTCAAACTTTGGTTTACATCACGACTATCCACCAGAACGCTATTTCATGAATCGCATGCATGATTATTTTTGTACATATTAACCTGCACCGCTGCAGACAGTTTCTCGGATTATGAGAAATATAGGTACTGACACCATTATTATAAAAAGATGCTGACTCATAGGTATGTACAGTATAAGAGTAACCCCTTGTCTATGTATACTAAATCTTGAACATTGTCAAAACTTTGTTTTTGAATCTTGGAGGGTCACGCTCGACATAAATTGTTGCCGCGCTGACGAGACACAAAGCTCTCTTAGAGTATCAAGCAGGAATACGGATTGGACAACGGAATGGTTCACTGATCGGCCACATCTCCCTGTGCGTCTGATTAGCTTTTTTAAACCAAAGATATGTGTACTGAACCGAATGCGCTCGCATCCGCAGATAATTCGATCTGAATCCTCGAGGTTTACACTGGATACGGAGTGTCTAGGTGGAGCTATGGGAAGGGCAAAGCGACCGCACCCCACCCTCTTCCCCACGATCCCTCTGCAGACTTAAACGTTTTGTAACGATCAACAGGTAGATGTGGAAATGGATACCATCCGCTAGTCTATCTGGAAGACCTATGGAGGAACCGAACCAGATCACTGGATAGGAAAACAACGGGAGTTACAGTAGTCTGGTCGTTTAAGTAGACCAGAACCAATAGAAGAAGTGCATACATTGATGAAAACCAGATGAGTCTGATTGAGTGAATAGCAGGTGGAAGGTAAATGAAGTTTCGCCAGAACGTGTATGAGGAACGGCTCTAACACAGACGAGGCTCATCGGGAATTCAAGCTAGATCAGCTCATCAAAAAACGGCATCAACGGTATCAAGAAAAACCTAATGCGCTGCGCTGCAGCACATAATTACACGGGTCGCCGTAAGTAGTTGGACTGTTCACATTGTAAATTATGCGGAAAACCTCGGTTATTGTCGTGTTTTGAGAGCGCACGCACTTATTTAGGGTAAACACAAATGAAAAGGAAGTAAATGGCCCATAGTCCGGTAGGGAAGACGGTTACGATGTGAGGCACCGTGGTGGGCGCATAGAGAGTCACGTTTGGAACGGCAACACCTGTGGTGAGAGCTGAGAGACTCAGTCGTTTCTCGGTCAAATTGGTTCATACTGGAAGCAAATTCATGTATAGCAATCAAATTCCTTTTTTATTCAACCATATTGGTTGGTTCATCAATTATATTGTATCGGGTGGTAGTACCCGCCTGCACCGGCTTGTGGCCGCTTCATTGGTCAAGCGCACTCAGCCAATGGGATGTCGGTCACCTACATATAGCAGCGTGTGCGTATGTATGGGGCAAAGGGGCTGAAGCGCCTCACTTACATCCATGTATCCCGTACATCTTGATTTGTGCATATGCCCAACATTGTCTTGGCTGATGATGCTTGGCCAATAAGACGGGTACTACCGCCCGAAGCAATCTGGTTGAAGGAGGGAGCAACATACTTAAATGACTAAGGAATGCGATTGCAGCGCAGCTGAATTCTTTTTCACTGCGGCTCAAGTTCACGGACATCCACGATACATCTGCATGATTGCCCACACAGCAACAGCACGTGCCCGGGGTGAAACGGCTCAACCCCACGATATCGCTGACCCGTGTGTAGCGAGAGTACAGAAAAACAAAAAGTATTCCGATTTATCGCAATCAAAAAGGCGACCACCGTACATCACGTGGCCGGATGACTGGTAGCACACCAGACACACGCGCACCAGAGAAGAATTAGCTCAAACCTGTGGGATTATCAGCATGTCAGCGGAACTGAGACGTATCATACCATTTAAATAACGCACCGTTTTGTGTCAAATACGTATTTGATCGAAGCCCACCTTGGCTGTTTGCGACATTCGGAGGGCTACACCACAATGGCTACCAGTCCAAGCAGATTAAGCGAATGCCCGCGATGAAAAAGCAAGTTTGGCAAATGCACGAAAATGCAATTGCGAAATGGGCAATGTACATTTGGAGCAGGGAAGATGCAACCGAGTCTGAGAGCACGGTGTTCATCTGAGAGAGAATAGTAACAAGCGGGTGTCAAAGCGAGAGAGATTCGATGGGGTTTAGGGGGGAAAAGGGTGGGATGAATAGAGGCATATCTTTGGGAGGGTTTCCGTGAAGCTGGGACGAACAAAATTCAGTGTGGGACGCAAGGTAGCAGCTACACGGACTGCCATCCTCATACCGGCTGGCCGCTTTTGATTCGCTCAAGTCGGCGTTTGAAGTCAAGAAGTTCGTGAGCGGATATTACGGGACGGGAGTCAGGTGGGCTGGGGGCGCCTTTGGAGTCGTTCGAACCGGCGTTGACCTGGGAAGGATTGACAAGATCCTGCGGAGGAGAGTTTTGAAAATATTGGAGTTTGAACGAATAAACTAGTGGTCTGTCGTTGTCACGGAATAGCAGGCGAAACTTGAAATATCGGTGGGGGATAATAATGATTACAACAAAGAACAACAATGGTAATACAACGAATAGATCAAGTTAATTTAATAGTGTCTCGTGCTATTGAGAGGCAAAATAACTGCCCACCTTTAGACAGTAGTGAGGGGGGGATTTGGACTAAAATCGATGGAGATTCGTTAAGACTATAGTCGACTAAACAATCATTGTATATCCAGAAAGGTTAACATACAACGCTACAGGACAGTGACAACCAAACAAGAGAAGTGGTGTCTCTGTGGTCTGGATATCAGAAAGGCATGTGGAACTACAAGATAGGTTGTGTATTTACCCCTAAGAGTTGTTTGGTCATTGAGCCCGCCGTCCACACCCTATAGACCAGTGGACTTGACAATCGATTTCGAAGGGAAGGATTATGAGCTTCAGACCCTGATTTGGCCGATGCGGTTAGCACTACTAACGAGTTCAAAAGAGCGAAACGGCCAGCTAGTACCCTAGCACGCGTGCAGTGGCTGTTTGACAGTGCGTCTGTGGCAAACCTACACCGAATTTTGTTCATTTATTTATGCAATCCAGTCGAGCGAAGATGCGATCGCGTCGCGGAAACATGCATTGGCATATGTGACAATTGGGTCACAGTTCCGGTTCGCTTCAGCTGGGTCACTATTATGAGGACGGTTGAGGTATTCTAAAAGGATGAAATGGTGGTCCAGAACACCTTGAAGTTTTGAAGGCGGTCTGATTGGATTTAGACAAAGATGGTAATCGCAAATGCAGCATGACGCGAAGCATGATCGAGCTTCAAAAAGTCACCGCTTATCACCGGTCTAAAGCTAGCATAGCCACAAAGCTGAGATCAGCGCTATCGGACAATGCGAGACGGTACAACCATGAACAAACCAAATCGCGAGGAGCACTAAAACAAAAAATAGTGATCCACAGTACAGCGTCTCCTGGGCGAACTCACTCTAAGTGTGTTTTCTACGGCGTTTTTCAACACTGTATCATTGACATCGTATCGAGTGTCACCAAGCAGGCCAGGGCTTTGATCCACAACATCGGTGGTCGAGACACCTCCCATGCCTAGTTCCCGCCGAAGCACAGCGAGTCGATTCATGAAGATTTTGGGATCCACCGATTGCAGATCAACAATATCTCCACCTGGAAGAGCCAAATCGGAGCCGGAGATTGTTCCGTTGAGCTGAAAAGTGCAAAATCACCAGTGAGAAATGGAAAAATGCATAGCCCAATGGGACTGGCAGTGGCTGAGAGAACACACAAGTCCGGACAGAAAGTGAAAACAGAGCGACAGTAGATTAATATCATGAGCTCACCCGACTCGGAACGGAAGAGCGTAATTGATCAACATCACCTCCGAAAGAAGCACGTTTACTTTGACGAGCACGCTCCACCGCAATGTTTTTCAACGCTTGCCGTACGTAGGTTTGGAAAATGTCGCTGCTTTTGGACAGAAACTGTGATAAATCCACCTCTGGATGTTCCTGAGTGAAGTCGTACAGTTCATTCAAACCCTAATAGTACGCACGGTGGTGACGAGGTAGCGTGCGAAGTGAAGGAAGAAGTGGAGGAGCAGCAGCAGAAAACTGGGTTAGATTGAGAGGACACACAATGAAAATGACAGTGAAAACGGGTAGCATCAACAGGTGCGACAGAAGAAGGGGTCATTGATAGGTCAAACGCGCATATTGTGCAATTTCGGCGAAGTCAATGTGACACCAATTGTGCAAAACGTATAAGTGTGAAGAACTAGCGCACACTTGCCCAACTGAAATGGGGATGATAAGGTGTAAAAAAGCGGAATCCCAACAGAACGAACAGGTAAGCGGCTCAAGTCAAACCGGTGAGATGGTGGGAAATAGCTCAAGCGCAACTTGGACGCCAGAAAACGTCCGGACAATGACACAGACTGTTACTAGCAATAAAGACTCCAATTGCCTAAAACCAGTGGTGCTTAAGCTGTTACCTCCGCAAAAAGGTTCAACTAATTAGTTCGTTAATTTTGGAAATATGCCTTTACGTATATACAAAAGAAACGGATATGTTTAACACGAGACGCGCCAGATATATTTTAAGCAACACATCAACCGTGTGACAAACAAAGCAAAAGTTGGCGAGTGGCGAAAAGATTACGCACAGGCCCTATCATTCGAAGGTCAGTGGATCGAATCCGTGCAGCTGAGGACCACCTCGCGGCATGTCCGGTCCACGCATGGCTGTCTGTGGTCACCTGATAGTGAAGCGTCGGTGTACTGTTAAGCTAAGAGATAAATAAACACTCCTCACCCCACTACGCGTTTCGGTCTTGTTTGATCTCTTCAGGTAGTGATAGCAGGTATTGAGCCCGTAACCATTGGGATTACGAAGGGCAACGCTTGACAGAACGGTTTGTGTTCGTTGTGACTGGATTGCGGCGCGCAATCTAATTAGGAACATTGATTCGCAATAAAGCGAATCTTGACCAATTCGATCACTAGGATCGTAGCTGAAGTGCAAATAAATTAGGTGCTGCTCTCAGGAAAAACTGCACTTTTACTACGGGGTTCGACCTTGCTTGAGCTCATTAGACCACGAACCCGGGACCATTGGAGTATCAGTATTAGGACCTTTACCATTTGAGTCCCTAGGTCAAGACGCCTGGTAAATGTATCTGATGAGATGAGAAAAGTTGGAAACCAGTCTTGAAGTGCAGTAGTTTCGGGCAAGCAATATTCAATTTCAGCAGAGGTCCTAGTGATCAAATTGGCCCAGATTCGCTTTACTGGTAATCACGGTCCACAGTTATATTGCGTGTCGCAATCAAATCATACAAGGAGTACTTCAAAATGATCTTCCAACCAAACATTTGCCAAAAGTTACAAGCACGTTCTCACCAATTCATCATCATCATCATCATCATCATCATCATCATCATCATCATCATCATCATCATCATCATCATCATCATCATCATCATCATCATCATCATCATCATCATCATCATCATCATCATCATCATCATCATCATCATCATCATCATCATCATCATCATCATCATCATCATCATCATCATCATCATCATCATCATCATCATCATCATCATCATCATCATCATCATCATCATCATCATCATCATCATCATCATCATCATCATCATCATCATCATCATCATCATCATCATCATCATCATCATCATCATCATCATCATCATCATCATCATCATCATCATCATCATCATCATCATCATCATCATCATCATCATCATCATCATCATCATCATCATCATCATCATCATCATCATCATCATCATCATCATCATCATCATCATCATCATCATCATCATCATCATCATCATCATCATCATCATCATCATCATCATCATTTCCACCTTGGATCAATGGACTGTAGAATTGAAATTCGTGGTGTACGAAACTGGATTTCCGCCTCGGAAGACGGCGGTAAATAAGATAAGTCAGTCAGATCAAGGTGACAATGGAATGACGAGCTACAAGTAAATCAGTAGTGTGATACAGTGGGACATACAAAAACAGTACTATTTTTCTGCAATACAAATGATCATTTTCAACTATGGACTGTCCTATTTGACCAGAAATAACTCAATAAATAAATAAAGAGCTAGCCTCAGTGCAAAGCATTGGAATGCAGTGAGGAAGTGAAGGAGCACCGACAGGAGACTCAATGATTGAAAATGTAACGGAGATGTTAAGCGTTAGCACCACTTAAGACTGGTTCAAACTGGGAGACGCGGAGCAGTTCACGTACTGCTGAAATCCAGTGTAAGGGCAAAAGAACAATGCTATCAACCTCTGGCTGAGAGCAAACGAGTGCGTGTGTACGCACAAATACAAGTGAGTTGGATGAATGAATCTGAGGGGTGTTGTATTCCGATAAGCGCAGTAGGGCTATCCGCAACCCGACCTCAGTAGCAGTACCACGCAAACGCACGTACGGTAATCAGCACAAAGCCACGACGCACTTGGAATCCTGTATTCTGCCTGATGACTCGGCTCTTTACAGGCGTGATGAGTATTAGCGATCAATGGACAAACGTTCCTCGAATCAATTGCGAGATTGAGCGTGCTTACACACGGGACAACGTGGTAATATAAGTTAGCCTGCACAGCATCACCGCTTTTCTTGTATGAGCACATCAACCTGAGCTGTGAGTCGATGGGGCAGTCACGTCGCTTCCGCCCCATGCACAGAGTAGAGACATGACCACTGGGTGTTGATGGTCTTACATCAGTGACTTTGCGTGAGGAGCGATGCCAGCGAAGTACCGTTCGCATGTAGCGAGACCGATGAGTGGGATGCCCTGGAGTGCGTCAGTTGGAAAATGACAGAAGACCATATGATATTGGCTACGGAACTACATGTGCCTGCCTTAGAGCATACCGACACTGATCTTCTTGGATCGGACCCAGCGGCGAGGTAAGCGCTGCTGAGTACACTGATGTGGAGCGCTGCACGTTTTGCTGTTTTGCATACCTTCAAAGTGAAGAATACATTTTTAGGACCGGATCGACATACTACCGGAACTGGTCGATTGGTTCTAGTACCCTGGTAGTTGAGTCACTTCTGGTGGTCACATCACTGAGGTTACTACGTGTATCAATGTAGGTCAGATAGCCTATAGCAGGCTAAATCGTCCGAAGACTGCGCGATAACAGTTTAACAGCCAAAGACAGAATGGAAAATGACTCGATAAGATCGGTACTACCGTAAGGATCAGAAACCCGGTCAGTTCGCAGTGAAGACATAAAGTGGCTGATCATATTGGATCATCCATTCTAGTAAAAGTATTGCTCGCATCTTGTGGGAACAACAGCTGAGTCAAGCAAAAATCCACCGGCTGATGTGGAGGGTTTCGGTGTGGCTCTCTCCCATCCCTGCACTCCACGACCGACGGTTTCGTGTTTGTTTAGACTCACCAGGTAGAGAAAGCCGAACTGGGAGTAAAGTCTAAACAAAGACGAAACTGTCGGTAGTGGAGTGCAGGGATGGGAGAGAGCCACACCGAATCCCTCCACTTCGGTGACGGTCCAAGTGACCGTATTGGCAGATGCTGACTTCAAAGTCAACCGAGGGCACGATTGAGATTGTGTGTCGTAATCCAAGACACATGGCATGTGCTCCAAACCCCGAAAATCTACTACTAACCGTTGTGACTAAGACTGCTCGCGGAGCTCAATGGCCTAGTGATCATGGCGATAGCCACCAAGTACCACGCGTCGAGTTCCACTCCAAGCTGGGCTATCTCTACCTGATGAGTTTAAACAAAGACGAAACCGTCGACCAATGAGTGCAGGGATGGGAGAGAGCCACACCGAAACCCTACACTTTAGTGACGGTATTGGCAGAGGCAAACCAACCAAGGAAACGATTGAGACTGGGTGTCGCAATCCAAGACACACGGCGGGTGCTCCGAAACCCTAAAATCCACCGGCTGATGTTTAGGAGGAAACCTCTTGAATTGTCTGTTAAATTAGAAACTGGAAAGCAGGTGGCAACACGCCCTCCAAATGACAGTTGACCGCCTTCCCCGATGTGCATTATGCGCTGTCGTTGCACGTAGGTGTGCGAAACCGCGAGAGAGTCGGCACTCTAGGGCGTGGCATAAATGCACCAAGAAGTGAGTTAAGAAACTTGGTCTGGACGATGCGCTACATGTCCATGGATGGAAGCCTTGGAGTGAAACGTGTTGCGTAGCCCTCAGGGAAGCAAGAAGCCTCGACCGCGATCATGAAGTCATTTATTAAGATTACGCTCGAATAGTTATAGAGTATATACACTATTTATAACATTTAGTCTCAATGGCTCATCCCTGTTATTTGCATTGTGTTGCTGACTCCCTTTCCATTGGTTTATGCTTGCTTACCAAGTTCACTCTGTCTAAAATCACATTGCCTTTCTTATTGGATGTGCGATTGGCGGGATTGGGCCCGCGCGCTTCTTCCCTCGGTCCCAATGCCATAAGCCTTGGCTCAAGGGTGCACGAGTATGCGACCCTTCGCCTGGTTGGTCACTTGCACGTTCAGTGGGTAGTGGCAGGGTGGACGCGATTATGGGCCAACTATTTCCTGAGTGGCTGACCAATCTGCTTCCGGCAACATGCTCACTCCTTATCGGTCTGACCTGTGACCTTCGATCGGCATTACAGTATTTCCAATCACCAGTATTTCCAGCCCCATCACATCCTTTCCTTTTTCGTTGTTTAAAATGGTGTTACAATATGTTCCGTATTGCCTATCACTTCGTGTGCGTTTAATGTCCTGGGCTTGGGTAGCAGTATTCCTCTCCGGTTGTTGTTGCAGACCCTCTCTCTGCGGTGTCCACTTCTGGCGCACTCTCCACAGTTGCACCCGATCCCGTGGGATGAGATTGCCCCCAATCTTGATTTCATAGCTCCTCTCTCCAATCCGGCCATCGATCACTCCTAGCCGCCAACATCCACCGGATTCCGGTAATAGCTGTACCCATACTTCTTCTCCTGTACCTAGTGATGGGAGGCTTT